CCTGATCGCCTTTTTGGTGAGGGTTGGGCCCGATGCTCCCCCCTGAGCCTGGAGCACCCTGGGGAGGAAGCCTGGCCCGGAGGCTGGCGCTTACTCTGAGGGCGGGGCCAGGAGCCTTGGGAGCCCCCTGGCTGTAGGCAGGGCTCACACCTGATGGGCAAGCTGAGCACAGGCTGCCGGCCAGAACAGGCCCCTTCAGGAATGAGACAGGTGTCACCTACCTGGAAAAACAGTTGAAAACTAGCAAAGTGCATTTTGCACTAAGACAGCTCGAGTGCTTACACCAATGAAGAGAGGGCTGGCAGGAGGCCACGCTTGTGTTCAGGGCTCAAGGCAGTTCAGCGGAAGGCCCTGTTCTAGACTATTTTACATTCACATCTTCTCCGGTTTTGGGGGACGAATTGGATGCCCTGGGGGATGCTGGGCGGCGGGCGTTACAGGCCACAGATGTGCCAAGCTGCTTCCTCGGCTTCATCCATCATGCCACGCTCGGTTTCCTCGTCGTCATGTCCCGTCTGCCTCCCCGCCCGACAACACTGAAGGTGGCGGGCGCAGCGGGGCTGCCTGGAGGCCGGTGATGGATGCTCAGCGAGGTGTGCCGCGCCCCCGTCATTTGTTTATCTGTCTCAGGATTATGCAGTTGGAAACCTACAATTTTATGCTGCCTTTGTAAATTACCACGCCGCCTTTGATGAATGTCCCCACTTGCATGGGGCAGCGTTGCGATGGTGAGGGATGGGAGTGCTCACTTCCTGGCAGGTGAGCACGCAGCAAAGTAAATCTGGCCTTAAGCTTCCTGCTGCATTGAAGAGAATTCAGCTTTAACTGTAGAGTCCCAGGTGCTTCAGCTGTGGATAAAGTCCCGGCCCAGTCAGGGCTGACTGACTGCCAGGACCAAGCTCTTCACCCTCGAACCCAAAATAAGGTGTCTGCCAGGCACGGGAGGTGGTGGGCACGGCGGTCATGCCTGTGAGGGTCCCACCAACTGCAGTGGGCGTGGGGTGCCAAGGTGCTGCCACGGCTGCCAGAGCTTCCACCCTCCGCTGGCCACTCCCTCACGGGGCCAGGGGACTGCTGGCCATTCCTGCCTCCCACGCCGTAACCTCTGTTTGCTTTTCCCAGTCGGAGAGCGAGGAGAAGGTTGTCACCTACGACCACATCGGGCCCAACGTCTGCATGGGAGACCACAAGGTGATGTGAGGGCCCCGGCCCAGGGCCGGGCCTGCGGGGCTGGCGGGGTGCTTCCCTGCCTCCACGGTCTGGCTGCACAGGACAGGCCGCAGTGTCTGTTTTCACTTAACTTTAATAAAATACCCGGTGGTAGGCAGCTGTGTGAGTAGATAGGTAGGTGGGTAGATAAGAGGGCAGAAATGACCAGTCACAACAGAGTAAAATACACAATTTAACTATTTGTAAAAAATATATATACGCACACACACACACATATATATATATATATACTGTCTCCGTGGATTATTTCTTAGGCCATTTCTCACGTGTGCATTTGAGGTGTTTTATTGTCCTTATGCCGAGCCAGTCTCAGCAGGCGGTGGTGAGTGTCACAGTCAGCTCTCCAGGGACTAACTTCGTGCATGAGACTCCCTGCACCTGAGCCCAGCATCCTCGCTGAGGGTTGTGCTGGCGACAGGTGTGGCCCCTCCCTAGGGAGACTAGAGGCCTCCACGCTTTCCCGTTTTGGAGACCACTGGGCATCATCCTGAGACGCAGCCCCCACACTGGCACCCGACGGGGTGGACCCAGGCGAGGACAGGAACTCTGCCCCACCCCCATTACGCGGGGCATAGTCTGTGGTCTTTAAGTCAGTTTTTACCTTGGGTTTTATCTGGAAATAATACCTCTTTACAAAACGTGAAGGCACTTTGCCTGAGCCCCTGGCCGTCCAGCCTGGCTTCCTTCCGTATCAACTGGGTTCCATGCACAACCGGGTAACCGTCCTTGGCCCCAAGGTCACCAGCTCCTCGGTTCAGGCAGCCCAGAGCAGAGGGTGAGGGTGAGGGTGAGGGTGGGGTGCGGCACGGGCTGCCTGGGTTCTGACGCCCTCCTCTTCTCCCGCTGCAGCCCGTGTTCCTGGCCTTCCGCGTGGCGCCCGGGGCAGGTAAAGCTCACGCACACGTGCACAAGTGTTGTGTCGTGCAGTGACGTGTGGTAAATATGGCTCCTTCCCTTGAGTTCACCTTTTCTGAGCTTTTCCCGGTGTGTCTGTCCCTTTAACAAACCACTGGTTCCACTGCAGGGAGGCGATGCCAGCGACACGAGAGGACCCTTCGCGAGCCCTGCCTATAGCGTGAGGAGCAGATGGAAGTCGCGTCCATGGAAATCCACACTCAACAGCTGCATCGATTAACCCGCCCGAGCGCCACCCGCTAGCCGGCCGGCCCACACTTCGCTTCAGCCTCCGGCCCTCCCGGGGGAGCCTCACATACCTCACTGTCTTGTCTGTTCATGTGACATTAAGTAGAAATATTGGGTTTTTTAATAAGTCACAGTCCTGTTGCCAAAACTCTAATAGACAGCAGAGATTCTGTATTTTAGACTTCACGGTTTTCAGTTTGTAATAATTGTCAGCGTGGGAACCCCACGGGTGTCAAATGTCCCCTCTGCCAGCTGGAGGTGTGCCCGGGCGGGAGCAGGCTCTGTGCTGACTCGGGCAGCGTGGCCACTGTGAGGACAGCGAGGGCCCTGGCTCCAGCCGATGGCCCCTCCTGTGTTGTTCCTTCCACTGCCATGTACATGGTGTCTGAATCACACTGCAGCTGCTTCCCCGTTTTATATATAAATATATATAAATATATACTTTTTAAAATAATTTATAAATCTTACCAAAACTTACGCTAAATATGCTTTCCAGTATGAATGCTCAAGAGTGTCATATCAGCAGGTAGAATTGGAGTCTAGGAGTTTAGTTATGTGAACGTCACACACATACCTGCAGAACAGGTGACGTGCCTGGCAGTGCATCGTGGGTGATCAGCGCCAGTACACCTGGCTACACTAGCAGCCGTCGCTCCTCTGCCTTCTCCTGTGTAATATTAGACCTGAATGTGAAGGTTATAGCCGACTTGGTTGTACCTTTTAAGAATTTTGTAAACCATTTTGTCTGTCTTTTGTTACTGTTCTATGGTGCCAAGTATTATACATAAAACAATAATATCATGGGAGAAGTAAAAATAGCCTAGTTCGCTTCCAATAGAAATTGCTTTTAACATGGGCTGTACATAAAAACATTAAGAGGAACAGAACTGTAAACGTCCTGGGCTCAGCTGCAAACGCCCCACGCAGATCCGTGCTGCCCACACTCTCCCAGCACTGAGTTAGCGCCGAGCTGACGGGAGCCTGCGGGGGAGAAGCCTTGCGTTTATTGTCTGCTCTAGAACACTAAGAAGTCCTGGGCTGGAGGCCGCAGGCAGACGCTGTTTAGGTCAGTCACTACCAGTGCAAGTGATGCGGGGTCCGCTTGCCGAATCTGTGTTCTTGACAATACGGGGGGGTCTGGGTCAGGGCGGTCACTGTGCTGTCCACTTCCAAGCGGTGATTCTGTTCAACGGGGTTTCAGCTGTTGGTCACTGTGGAGGCCTTTAGAAATGACCGCTCCGGTTCCTAAGCAATAAAATTGATCATGGTGAACGCAGTTCTGCCTGGCTTTGTCTTCTTCCTTCCCGGGTTTGTCCTCTTTGAAATGCTAAGTGACAGGACTGTGCCCTCCTTAGCCTGTTGCGGACCAAGCTCATTAGGAATCCTGGAATTTCATTCCATCATTTACCGTCACACAAACTAAGCTGAGAATTAAGAGCAGAAAAGTAATCTGTTGGCTCTCTTACTGCGGTGATAACTAATGGGATTCACCCCTCATCATTTTTACACAGGATTATGTAAATGCACGCTTTCCTCAACCTGAAACTGGAAATTCCTTTGCTCTTAACTTGAGCTGAGACAATAGTTCACTTGAAGAAATAAAATAAATTGTCTCTCTTAAAAAGAACGAAAAAACAGCCAGTGGTTCCTTAGAAATGTCTGGTTTTTTAGATGGTACAGCCATGTGGCAAAAACAAAAAACACCCACAAAACAAAAAAACTTCAGCCATTTACATAACTCTTTAGCATTTTCAAAAACTCCAAGAGAAGTCATACAGTAACAATCACATTTAATTTTTAAAATTAGTACCCAATCCTTATGGCCATTAAGATGCAACATGCAGAGCCGGGGCCACGGTCTGTGATAACCGAGAATCAGGGTGGTGGTGATGGTACCTGGACCAGCCCTGGACCTGCCCTCAGAAGGCGGGAGGACCGGAAGAGGAGGGGGGAGTCCCGCTGATTCCCGGAGCCAGCGAGTGGGCGGGAGGGCGGAGCTGCAGACCCCACTCCCCTGGCAGGAGATGCCCGCCCTCTGGGCTGACGGGACTGCGCTCTCCCCGAGCTCCCCCAACGTCCGCAGAGTAGTTTTAATTAAATAGCGCTTTCTACTGAGGAAAGATCTGCAATGGGAGTTGAAAGGCCATGATGCTGAGGAATTGAAAACCCCACTGATTTCACCCCACACGAGTGCCAGGGAATACTTGAAAATATTCAGCTACTGGGGCTAAGCCTGTTTTAACACACAATCCAGCAAATCCAGGAACCATGGGCCGGGAGGGAGCAGGACGGGCCCCCAAATGTGTTTCAATCCGCCCCAAACCTCATCCCAGCTGGCTGGCCGCAGGCCGCAGCCCGGGGC